CCCCTCCCCAGCTCCACTGCCCCCCTGGAGGTCTCTACAGCCCCTCATTTTCATGTCCTTTGTGACCAAGCCACATTTAGAGGCCTAATAAATGCCTTCCCTTGAAGAGAGGACCATCAGGCTACAGGATAGGGGAGAGCAGCCCGGAGGCAGTGCCCCTCCCTGCGTCCTTCTCCAAACACTGATGATCCCGGGCTGCAAGAGGCGGTAGAGATCAACTCCCAGCCCCTCCATCTCATTAGCGCTGCATTATGAATTCCGGGGATAATGTATGTGATTTCCTCTCCTGATTGCTGCTGAAATCTCCTGCCTGTTTATCAAATCCCAGCCATGCTCTGCAGCCCTCTGCTCCTTGGCTCCGGGCTCCTCTTCTCCAGAGGAGGAAAACAAGGAAATGCTCCTAGGGGATTCTGGCTCTAGAGAAGAGGATCATGGTGAGAGTGAGCAGGAAATAAGGTTGGCTTTAGGGGCAGAGGGCAGAAGGGCTCCTTAAAGCACCTGACCCCCAACCCAGGGCCGCACTGAGGCTAAGCTCCCGGGGAGGAAAGCCCTACTAAATCAGCTGAGACCTACTCTGTCACCATTAGAGAACCACTCATTCATTCGTTCATCCCACGGGCATTGGCTGAGGTGTCAGGCACTGTATCAGTTAACAAGGATACCAAGATGAAGCACAGGCCCTGCCCTGGAGTGAGAGGGAAACACACAGGCCCATAGTGCCAATACAAGGGGCAGATGCCAGCACAGTCCTCATGAGGTGCTGGGGCAGCATGAAGGAGAGAGGAGGCAAGGTCAGTGTGGGGACGAGATGACCCCAGGTGGTGGTCTTGAAGGAGGAATGAGACTTCACCAGCTGGAAAACAGGGAAGGGGAGGGTATATCTGTGCACACAAGTCCTGGCGTGTGAAAAGACCCAGAAGCGTGAGTTGCTGGGTGGGATCCGCCCATCTTGGGGTGGCTGGAGGCCAGGTCAGGAGGCAGCGGGAGAGGAGGACAGGCACAGTGATGGGCCTTGAGGCTGTGCCAAGGAGTTTGACTTTAATCTAAAAGCAAGGAAGATCCACTAAAAGGTGGAAAGCAAGGGCGTGTTTGGTCCCATTCACCTTTTGGTGGATCTTCCTTGCTTTTAACACCTTTTAGTGTTAAAAGCACTAAAATCAGGCGATGGGACGAGACACACCCTTGCTTTAACACCTCTTAGTGGATCTTCCTTGTTTTAACACCTTTTAGTGGGACGGGGATGGGCCTGGACCCCATGGATCAACACCTTTAGCAGCTGTGAGCAGGGCATGTTCCCTAGAAGGAACATGGGCAGGACAGGCAGGGAAAGTGCCTACGATGATGAGCGCTTTGAACTGTGCATTCAGTTGCCACCGGATCCCTTTTCACTTTCTCTGGGCACAGGTTGTTTCAGATGTGTGTGTGTCATCTCCTGCCAGTCTGAAAGACCCCTGAGGCTGGATCCTTCCTTCCCTCTTCACATGTCCTACTTGGAAAAGACCGTAGGAAACAGCAAGCACTCAATAAGGACTTTTTACCTTATCTTGGATTGTTTCAATGCCATTTTACAATTATTTCACTATTTCCTTACTGTTTGCAATGATATATTTGCCACTGAATGTTTACCTTCTCCAGTGTCTGCCTCCCCTGCAAACACAGAGACAGCCCGACTCTGACTACCTGCCCAATTTCCTTCTCCCTTCTCCCTTGTGAACTGAACCCTGCCTTATTCTGGGTAGTCCCAAGTGATAAACAGTGACCAAAGTAACCATGAAGATTCTGAGTGAGCCCAGGCCTATGGGAGGATCTGCTGGAGATTCCAGGGAAGCTTTTCCTCGTTCCTGCTGAAAGGAACGAGGGAGGCTGGTCCACCTCTTTCTCCTGCTTTCTGTCTTGACTGAGATTCCTGGACATCCTGAGGTCTCCTATGCCCATGAAGCAGAAACCCCAGGCATTCAGGACAGTGACAAGGCCCTTCCCTGATCCAGGCTGCCTTCTTGCTCTATGAGGGCAAGAAGTTTGTTTTTCTCTCTGCTGTTTCCCAGCTCCTAGAACAGCGCCTGGTATGCGGTGGCCACTCAATCATCCTCTGTGGATTGAGGGAAGGTCTACATTCCTTAGGCCACTGTTAGCTGGGAGTTCTGTTACTTACAACTGAACATATGCCTAACTCAGTAACTGTGAAAAATAATAACAGTATATGCTAAGATTATAAATGGAGTAAACTGGGTAGAATCACAAGCTAAGGCACCACCCTAAAATGTGAAGAAAGGTGCTGTCATGAGCCACCTGTTTTCCTTTCCCCTCAGTTTTTCTCTGCTCAGAGCTGGAACCGCTTGCCCCTTGCCCCCTCCAACTTGTACTTGCACCCCTGTTCCTCAAGGGACTGGCAGAATGGCTCATTTTCCTATAAGTCCACGTTTCATAGTACAGGTCATCACCTTTTGGCCTTGCCTTGACTCCCAGAACTGAGGATTCAAGCATGACCCAGATCTTCCTGGGCAGGAGAGCTTCAAAGCCCCACCAAGCACCAGGAAGGGAGAGAAGCAAAGAAGGGAAAACCCTGAAGTCATTCCTGCCATATGGCTACAGCCTTGCATCATCCCTGATGTGAGCCATTAACCTGCTAACTACCAACCAATTAGCTCTGGTTTGGGCTATGCTTCCCTAGCTTGTGTCTCTGCTTCTTATCAGTCACACAGAGGGGACCTTATAACCCCTGCCCCTTGGGAGATGTCCTTGGGGGAGGCCTAAAAGGGTCCTCTATACACAGGTTATACACATCTTTCTGAGCCCCCTCCAGTGGGAGCTGAAGAGAAAGTTTCCCCCAGGAGACTCCACAATCAGGGGCATTTACAAAGGGATTATGCTGCCATTCGCAAGTTATGTTTTTACCAAATGGAGTGAAGAAAATGAAGATAATGAAATAACCAGCTTTCTTGAAGTCCCTGCTGCAGGCCTAGAACCTGATTGGCAAGATCCCCTTTGAGACCCATTGTTTTTATATCCATCTGATATCAAACTTGAGTTTCTCAGTTCCCACTCCACGTGCTCCTGTTTTATTGCTATGTGACTATCAATGCCCCCCATTTCCAACCCCAGCCATTCTCTAAACCATCACCTGCGCTTTCCTTCAAAATCCAGCTCAAGACTCTCTCCCTGTAGGAGTGTTCCTAACCCTAACCCAAACCCAATGACCCCATCACTAAACAGTCTGTTTACATCATACTTCCAAGCACACACTTGTGTGTGGATTAGTAAATGTCTAGAATCTTTATACTTGCCTTTGTACAATCTTCTTGCCCAAACTAACTTCCTGAGGGGAGTTGTAGGCAGTTCTTCTGTATCTCTCCTAATGAGAGTCCATGATTTGGTACATAGTGAAAGCTCAAAAATATTGCTGACTTTTTCAATAATCTGTTGCTTTGTAATACACCAATCCAAAAGTGAATGGCTTAAGACAACCATTCTATCATCTCTCGTGAGTCCATAGATTGACTGGGATCAGCTGGCTGGTTCTTCTGTTGCACATGGTAGCAGCTGGGGCTGTGGTCATTTGGGGACTGTACTGGGATGAAGTATCCAGGATAAGTCACTCACTTGGCTGGTGCCTTAAGGGAGTGGATGGAGGCCTGGCTCAGTTGTGAAGCTGGGACAGTTGGGCCTCCCTTCCTTCCTCTCTTCCTCTATCCATATATTCTCAAGGTCTCTCCTTGTCCATTGGTCTCTGTATGTGACCTCTCTAGCACAGAGAGATCACACTTTTTACATAGTGACTTGAGGATCCCCAAAGCACAAAAGTGTAAGATTTGAGAATTTTTAAAACTTAGACTACAAACAACTTAGTGTCACTTCCAACACACTTCATTGGTTAAAGCAAGTCACAGGCCAGCTCAGATTTGGTGTGGGAGGGGATCACACAAGGGTGATATGATTCACTAAAGGAGGTCTGATTTACTAGGGAACATCTTGGGATACTCGCTACCCCTTGACTGAATGCCCAATAGCATTTATGGAGTCCAATTTTCATTAGTGCCAAGATTACTACAAAAAAACCTCAGCTGTCTCTTCCTCAGACTGCTTTCGTCAAGAATAAGGAGAACACACATACACACACACACTTACTCTCTCTCACACACACACATATATTCCTACCACCTGGAAAACCACCATTCCAACCTATAAAAAATATTTTAAAAATCTCTAAGAGGGTGAAAATGTGCATACTGTGAAAGAAAGATTAAACACCATCACTATTAGTTGCCCATTTAAAAAAGATGTATTAAATACATTATTTCATTTGATCTTGATTCCCATCCCCATTTTAGAGATGAAGAAACTGAGGCTCAGAGATGATAAGTAATTTACCCAAAAGGGTGGAGCTAGGTCTGAATAACCCCAAGACTTGTCCCTGATGCCAAAAAGAATTATTAGAATATGAATTAGTGCAGTAGCTCACACCTATAATCCCAGCACTTTGGGAGGCCAAGGTGGGAGGATCACTTGAGCCCAGGAGTTTGAGACCAGCCTGGGAAACATACCAAGACCCCATCTCTACAAAAAAAATTTTTTTAAAGAATAGGAATTATGCCTATCAATGATAGACTGGATAAAGAAAATGTGGCATATATACACCATGGAATACTATGCAGCCATTAAAAAGGATGAGTTCATGTCCTTTGCAGAGACATGGATGAAGCTGGAAACCATCTTTCTCAGCAAATTAACACAAGAACAGAAAATCAAACATCACATGTTCTCATTCGTAAATGGGAGTTGAACAATGAGAACACATGGACACATGGAGGGGGACATCACACACCAGGGCCTGTCTTGGGGTTGGGGGGCTAGGGGAGGGATAGCATCAGTAGAAATATCTAGTGTAGATGATGGGTTGATGGGTGCAGCAAATCACCATGGCTCTTGTATACCTATGTAACAAACCTGCACATTCTGCACATGCACCCCAGAACCTAAAGTTTAATTTTTAAAAAGTGCAAAAAAAAAAAAAATAGGAATTCATGTTTTTAGTCTAAAGAAACTGAGATCCTGAAAGGTGAAATAGTCCAGGGTCCCTCAGCCAGGATCCTGATTCCCCTTTAGAAGAGAACAGATGCAAAAGAAAGCACAGGGCCTGATTTGCCGTAGATGTTCAGTAAACACAAGCCCCCATCTCTTCTCCAAACCAGATTTCTTCCACAGCTCGCTGTCATTCGTCCAAAGAACGTAGCCGCTACACTGTGTTATTGGCAGGATTGTGGGCATGACTGATTTCCTTTCTGATTGGGTGGGAAGGCTGAAGGGCGAGTTTGGAAGGGCTCTGTTCCCTTCATCTCACTCCTTTCCCCACTCGCATTTCACGCAACAGTCATTTGGTTTTTGAGCAATCTGTTCCTGGAAAGCAGAGGAAAGTAACAGATTGATGCATCAACTGCATGTGGCCAAGTGATTTATTTTTAATGTGACTAAACAAGACACACACCTGCCTATGGAAACGTAATCACATTGAATCATCAGGACTTAGACAGCCATTTAGGCAAGGGAAAGACAGAGAGGAAACAGAGGAGAGGAGGAAGAGGAGGGAGAGAAAGAAAGGGGAGGCAGAGGAGCAGAGACAGAAGAGGAGAGAGAAGAAGGGACTGGAAGAGAAGAAAGGGAAGGGAAGAGAAGACTAGGCCAGCTCCCTAAAAATGTTGATTTCAGCATCATCAGTGAAGCACCCTCAATTGGCCCAAATGCCCCTGGTTTAGCTGTGCTGATGCCTGAAATTTTATAATTAGACTTTCATCCCTATGATTTAAACAAACATAGTATATTCTCCACTAAAGTGTAAATGCAACAGAAGTAGTGCATCAAACTATGTCAATCATTTTCACCTCAGTGAGAAAGAACTGATATCTTTTATGAAAGCAGGAGTTTTTTTCTATGGGTGGGGGTGGTATTAGTCCATTTTGCATTGCTATATAGGAATGCCTGAGACTGGGTAGTTTATAAAGAAAGAGGTTTATTTGGCTCATGGTTCTGCAGGCTGGATAAGCATGGCACTGGTATCTGCTCAGCTGCTGTTGAGGCCTCAGGAAGCTTTTATTCATGGCAGAAGGCAAAGGGGGAGCAGGCAGGTCACATGGCAGGAGAGGGAGCAAGAGAGGGAGGAAGAGGTGCCAGGCTCTTTTATACAATCAGATCTCACTCTAACGAATAGAGCAAAAACTCACTCATTACCACAAGGTGGGCACCAAGCCATTCATGAGGGACCCACTCCCATGACCTAACACTTCCCACCAGGCCCCGCCTCCAACACTGGGATCACACTTCAACATGAGATTTGGAGGGGAGAAATATCCACACTGTATCAGGGGGCATTAAAACAAACTTTTTGGGAGTCACCAGTGAAGGCCCAGAAAGGAACCTTGGGGGCTTTAGGGACTTTCTTCTTCATGGCTTTCCTTAATGATAACACCTACCTTTACGAGCATTTGTTGTGTTCCAGGCACTGTGAATGCGACCCATTACATGTACTATTTCATTCATGTACTATTTCATTCCATCTTCCCAACAGCCCTGGAGTTTTGTACTGGTGTTCTCGTCACTCTCCAGGTGAGGGAACTGAAGCCCAGCCCATCGTCCTCTGTCTCAGCACTCTGAAAGGAAGCTCCAGTTACAGGAGAGTTTCTCATGGAACGCCCAGCCTCACCAACAGTACCTTGCTTGCAGAAGGCACTCACTAAGTATGTGCCAACAGAGTGAAGTGGCGGGGATGGGATGTGAACGTAGACAGTCTAACACCAGAGCCTGTACCCTTAGCATTTGCCTGCACAACTTTCTCCCAGATAGTCCACTCCCTTCTCCCTGCTTCTCACCCAAATAGCATAAGAAATGCATGAACCACTAACTTTGGGAGGCTAAATGTCCTCCATCACGGCTCCCTCCTCAATCTCCCTGGGTCAGTACCAGGAATTAGCCAGCCAGACTGCTCCACTCTGTACTGCTAGTTGTCTATGTCCAGATACCTTTTCCCAGTTAGGTTGTAATGCCTTTGAGGGAAGGCACAGCATCCCTGCAGTCTTTTGGGGGGATGTATGAGTACTTTTGAAATTGTAGTTTCTTTCTCAAAAGCAACATTATATCTTCGTGTTTTCTGTAAATACAGATTGTGGTAGGTTTTTTCTTGAATTTTATATCAATGTCCTTCACCCTGCCCCTAGCAGCAGCACGTGAAGGAGATTATAAAGTCCTAAGTTGGGGGCGGGCATCAGATTGATAACTTTTTGAAGACTGATACTATCTAGTGTGGGCAAGGATGGGGAAAATGGATACTTATACATTGTTGGGTAGACTTTTGAGGAGGCAAATCATCAGTAAGTAACAGTGGCTGAAACAAGATAAAAGCTTCATTTTTTTTTTCTCATACAAAAGTCTAAGCTAGTAGAAAGTCCTGGGAAGAAGGCTGGCTTGGCTCCACAAGGTTATGCAGGGACCCAGGTTTTTTCTATACATTGTACCACCATCCCCAGGGGTGTTACCTGCATCACCTGGTGGAAGCTGACTCCCACCACCACATCTGTTCTCTGAATAGATTGCTCCATGGGGAAAGCGGAAGTACAACAAACAGCTTATTTTAAGGATCTAATTCAGAAATTGCACACAGTACTTCCCATCAGCCATAACTTAGTTACATGGCCACAGCGAGGGAGGTAGAAAATATATTCTCTACTCATACCCACCTGAAACTCAGGAGATTCGTTGCTAAAAGGAAGAAAAGAGAAAATGGATATTAGGGGGACAATGGACAGTTTCTAACACAAACAGGAGGAATTATCAAAGTTCAAAGTGCATATATCACTAGACCCAGCAATTCCAATTCTAGAAATGTATTCTGAGGAAATAGTCACATAACTACACAAAGATTATGCATAAGGGTAATACTAGCAGTTTTAAATTATGTTCACAAATTCTTTGATACCCTTCCCTTCACAAAAGGGCTGTACTTAATGACTTACTCTTAATGAATAGAATGTGGCCAAAGTGACAATGTGTGACTTCGGAGGCTAGGTCATAAAAGGCCCTGTGCTTCTACTTTGCCCTCTTGAATGACTGGCTATGATAGAAACAGCCACCATGTGGTGAGGACACTCAATTAGCCTTGTGGAGAGACCCACATGGGTGAGAAACTAAGGGCTCCCACCAGCAGCCCACATCCACTTGCCAGCCCTGAGAGCAAATAGCTCCTCCAGGCCTAGTCAAGGCTCAGTTGACTGAAGCCTCAGTCAGCATCTGGACTGCAAGCCCATGCAAAACACTGAGCCAGAAATCACCCACCCAAGAAGCTGCGAATTCCTGACTGGCAAAAAATGTGAGAGATTATAAATATTTATTATACAAAATTTTAAGCCACTACGTTTTGGAGTATTGTGTTAGGCAGCAGTAAATAACAAATACAATAATCATTGCTTCCTGTTTGTAATAACAAAAAAGAGAAAGAAAATACATTTTTTTAAAAAAAGAAACACCAGAAATGTCAATAATGGGAGGTTAAATAACCCATGAGAAATCCACAGTTTGGAATTTGCAGCTGTTAGAAAGAGACAAGCTATGGCGTAAAAGACCTGTATGTTCTGTCATTGACAGCTCCTTAAGACATATTAGTACATGAAAACCACAATCTGAGGAACACTTACTGTATGGTCTCCATGACATAAAACTGCAAAAAAAGTTGTGTATGCATGTACATATGTGCATACATGCAATAACCTTATATTTGTGTATACTCAAGTGTGTATTTCCACATACGTGTAAATGCGTGGAATAGGAGTGAATGTTGCATACCAAATGGCAGGCAGTGGTTTCACCCAGGACTAGGGAAGTGGAATGGGGGTGGGGAGTTGCAATATGGTGTTCACATTTTACTTTGTAATCTCCTGCATTGTTTCAACCTCTTACAATGAAAATGCATTTGCGTATTCCCTGTGTGATAAAAACAAAGAAAATCATAAAAAGAGAGAGAGGCAGGCAGATAGCAGAGATGGAAGGAAGAGGGGTTAAACAGAAACAGCATTTTACCCACTGCGTCGTGACTACAGGCATCTTATTTTACCTGTTTGTTTTTCCTTAACATCCCAACATAGAAAACAGACACTTTGTTTTAAACTAACAACGAGGAATCTCCTCGCTTTGGCCTTTCGCTTGCTCAGCATAGACTGCCCCTAGGGTGCTCGGAGGTGGGCCGTGGAGGGGAACGTTGGGAACTGCCCGACCCCATGCTCGCCTTTTCCCGCAGGACCTATGCTCAGCTTTCGGAACGTGCAAGGGAGGGAGTGTGTACAACCTAAGAAAAGGGCCGCGGTGCGGAGCCCGGAGCAGGGCTGGGTGCAGGGAGCGCTCTCGCTGCCCGGGGCGCTCTGCGCTAAGCGCCTGGTGGGGACAGCACGCCGCTCCGGGAGTCCCCAGGCGCGGGAGGTCCCAGCAGATTTTGCATAAAGGGAGGAATCCCCAGGGAGGAATCGAGTCCAGGGCACAAACAAGATACTGGAGGAGGTGGCACGGAGAGGATTGATTCGGTTTGCAAGCCTACGAGGTCGTGGCCTCTCGGGGCGGGAAAGCAGGCTCCTGTCTCTCCAGGATCCAGCCTCTCGATCACCACGCTAGTCCTCGCCCTGCCTGGGCCTCCCTAGAGATGGGAGCTTGGGTGGGGGACCCTGGATCCGAAGCCAAGGCTGAACTGGCGAGCCAAGCCCAGGGAGCAACCAAGTCCCCAAGTCTTTCCCTACCTTTCCCGCAGGCTGAGCGGAAAACCAGGAAGTGAATGGTCTCCATCTCCGCAGCCACGCCCGCCCGTTTGCGCTTACTGAACTGAGGTCCTCAGGAACGTGGTAAGACAAAGAGAAAGGAGGGCATTTTCGCCACCCTCTTGCTAATGCTTCAGTAACTCCCCATTGCCCTACTGTGCTCACCATCAGAGCCTGATTAAGACCTTTGGAGGCCCTAAAATTATAAGACCCACTCTCTCCATCAATGTAATTTAAAAACAAAAACAAAAACAAAAAAATTTTAAATGGAATTTTACCAAAAAGCCGATTTTCCTCTATAAATTTATTTTAATAGCAACGACAAGCCCTTGCCTTGCAGCACACTAGCCTGCCCAGCAGAAGATCCAGTAAGGTTTGCAAAGCCAGTCGGGATCTCCTCACCTTGCCTCTCTCCTCTTCCTGCACCGGCGGGCTAACCTGTTTCCAGGTCCTCTGAAGCTCGGTCCTTCCCTGAGTTTCCCATTGCCTGGCACCTCCAGAACCAGCATATATTTCCACTTCCCACTCCTAGCTTTCAGTCCAGACTGGGTTAGATGCCTTCAGTGCTTTCTCCATCACAGGAGACTTAGCACACAGAGTAGAATACTCCTGTTTCTTCCCTGTCACCTTCTGTGTGCTGAGGGCTCAGAAGGTCGAGACACCTTTTGTGTTTTGCTTACAGGTATGGTCCCAGAACCTAACATGTGGGCTGGCACACCCTTTGCTCAAATAAATACATCAATATTTGAAATTAACCATTCATAGCAAAACACATAGCACATAATAAAAGTGTGTAGTCCATTCTGGCCTATGCAGTACATTCGTTCCATCACAGTATATATATTCAGCTTCTCAGCATTTATTGAGCACCTCCAAATGTGCTAGACAGGTAATACTCAATACACATTAGTTCCCTCCATGCTAAAATGGACTGTATGTCCACGTAACTTTGCTGGAAACTTGAGGGAAACCAATTATCCTGCCCTTTCCCTGGGTGTCTGATTGAACTCGGCATGTCCGTTATAGCCATAGAAATATCACTAACAGGCAAAGCCAGCAGGATTAGATCTGCCAAGTGTTTAAAGTTTAGCAAGAAAGCTTTTTGCAAATGTCAACACTACCACTCTGTTTCCTGCAAACCAGCATTCTAATCAGCAGGGCTGCCTTTTCCAGCTCATTGAGCAATGACATAAAAAAATCCCAGCATAATCCTTTATCTAGGAGAAAAATACCAAAAGGCAGAGAGGATGCAATAACAATCATAGCTACCTACTATGTGCAAGGTGCCGTGCTAACTGCTTTAGTTATGTTGCCTCCAATCCTCACAACAAAACTGACAAATGGGGAAACTGAGGCTTACAGAAGTCACACATCTCCAACTGAGGCCTGAACTTGAGTATTTTCCATAGCACCCCATTAACTCGGGGGGAAAAAACCTGCTATTGTGCCCAGTGAGGATACAATGTCTTAGAGTGGTAGGGACTTCAGGGGCTGGTCGTAGGAAAAGAGAACGAGAGTGCTTCTCATGCCAGGGTTTCCTGGGACTCTCATCTTCTTGTCTTCCTCTTCTCCTTCCCTCAGAGGCCAGGTGGAGTGACATAATGATTTTGGAAATTTTTGAGCTGAAAAAGGAAAATGTTTTCTTCTTTTTTTTTTCTAAAGGGGAACTGTTGGAGTGTTTGCATTTTGGGTTCCTTGCATAGCAGCTGGTAGGCTTGATGGGATTTCAAAATGAAGTTACTAATGGAAATTATACACTGGGGACGTTCCAAAGAAACGGCTAAGAGAGAATGGCTTGTGCTAGGTGACTGGAAGTGTTGCATCAGGTTATCACAGCTGGGTATTGAGGCCAGGCCCAGCTGAAATGTTACAGTAGGGTTACCTCTCAGACTTGGCTCTGTACAGGAAGCATATCCAAGGAAGAGCTACATCCAAGGCAAAGCTATAAAGCCAGCCGCAGAAGACACAGTACCTGGGTTAACTGCCCGTCTGTCCCTGGGTGTAGGCTAAAGATATTTAATCTTGGACATGGCAAGCAGCTGCATACAAGAGCCTGATTCCTGATTCCTGAGCAGGAGTGGGCAGCAAGTTGCTAATTCTGACCTCCATCCATCCCTGAGGCGGTGTAGCCCTGGGTTCTCAACCCTGGCTGCCCACTAGCATCATCTGGTGAACTTTGAAATACAGATGCAGGACTCATCCCAGATGGATGAAATCAGAACTGATGGGAAAGGGATCCAGCGTCACATATTCTCACAGTTCTCCATGTGATTCTAGCTCGCAGCCAAAGTTCAAAAGTTCTGACACAGCCTAGGTGTCCAGTGATCACAAGAATTACTGGAGCACTCCCTAAAATAGTTTTGCCTCAGCCTCTCTGCTGTAGATCTTGATTCAGTGGGGCTGGCAGGGGCCCAAGAATCTGTAATTTTAACGAGCTCCCTGGTAGTAGTTTTGATCAGATAAGCTTGGGGACCCGCAGGTGTAATAAAATGGTATATTCGCATGTCATCATTGCAGTCACAGCTTCTGACATATTATGTTTTAAATTTGTATGTACATCATTGTGTCTCAACCATCATTCGAGTGTAAGCTCCAAGAGGGAAAGGACCTTGTCTTATTCACTGGGATGTTCTCAGTATGGAAAAGAATGCAAGCAAATAGTGGGGAATCTGTGGATATTTGTCAAATAAAGAAACGAATTTCTGTTTTGTATTTGTCGCTTCTGCTTTGTGAACCAAGTTAAGAGTGAGATTGAAACTTTGAAAGAAAATACAAATAATTTTATTTCACTTCCCTTTATAGATCTAAAGTCCTGCTTTTAAAAACATAAAGATTTCTTCTATATGGAACTTGATTGCCTTCATTCAGTCATCAAGAGTCTTCAGGAGATCTGAAGACCCAGAGCAAACCAGAAATGTTGAGGGGGAAAATGTGCAGAAATGTCTGAGAGCAAAACCCCTGTCCTTAAACAAATTTTTCTTCTGAAGTTTTCTGCTTCATTGGAAGTTTTATGTCACCAATGAAGCTATAGGGCCTAGACAGAAAATGATACAAAGTATTTTCAGAAAAGTTGATTAAACTGCATGCTTTTATTTATGCACATTCAGAAAATGTTTATCGCGGAACTACCATTTTCCAGTAAGTGCCAGTGGGAGCCCAGTGAAAAATAACACACAGTCCCGCCCTCAATGACTAGCTTTACCAGTGAGTGGAAAGCTAGCCATGGAACTAGTACAGTGTGATAACACGGGTCATCAAACTCAAGATGCCTTCTGTTATAAGATGCATCATTAATTTATGCACCACTAAGAAAAATGCTACCAATTGAACCATGACATGTCGTGGATTTTATTAAGACCTGTTCTAATTTCAAACATGTGAAAATGTAATGGGGTGGTAGGGAGGTGAGGAGTGTGCATTTTATTTTATTTTATTTTATTTTATTTTATTTTATTTTATTTATTTTGAGAGACAGGGTCTCTCTTTGGCACTCACCCAGGCTGGAGTGTAGTGGCGCAATCTCAGCTCACTGCAGCCTCAACCTCGTGGGCTCAAGTGATCTTCCCCCCCTCCTGAGTAGATGGAGCTCCAGGCATGAGCCACCATGCCCGACTTTTTTTTTTTTTTTTTAACTTTTTGTTGTTGTTGAGACAAGGTCTCATTCTGTTGCTGCCCAGGCTGGAGTGCAGCGGCTCGATCTCAGCTCACTGCAGCCTCTGTCTGCCAGGTTCAAGCAATCCTCTTATCTCAACCTCCCAAGTAGCTGGGACTACATGTACATACCACCACGCCCAGCTTTTGTGTGTGTATATATATATATATATATATACACTTTTTTTTTTTGAGAGACAGGGTTTCGCCATGTTGCCCAGGCTGGTCTCAAACTCCTGAGCTCAAGCAAGCCACCTGCCTCAGCCTCCTAAAGTGCTAGGATTACAGACAGGAGCCACTGCACCCAACCATAATTTTTTCTTAACTTTTTGTAAAGACAATGTCTCATTATGTTGCCTAGGCTGGTCTCGAACTTGGGCTCGTGCAATCCTCCCACTTTGACCTCCCAAAGTACTGGGATTACAGGCATGAGCTACTGTGCCTGGCCAGAGCATGCATTTTAGAACTGATTAAATATATAAGGTAAATCAGACCCGAAGGATACACAGAATAAGCCAAACAGTAGGGGGTAGGGAGACGTGGAAGAAGGAAAGTACTGTGCAGAGGGGACAGCTTGTGCTGAGAGGTGTAGAGGGAAGAGGGTGGCTGCTTATAGCTCAGTAAGACTGGAGTTAGAGCCTGTGGGCTGGAAGGTGACAGATGAGGCTGGAGATGGAAACAAGGGTCAGATCATGGCCTGCCTTATAAGTAGATGGCCTTAGTCCCAGTTTACATCTGCAGTGTGTCTTTTTGATCTTAAGTGCCCTGTTGGACAACAAATTATATGATCACCCTATACTAATAAGCCATTTTTAGATGTGGGCTTTTTATCTTAAGAGAAATGAGAACAATGAAAGGGTTTTAAACAGACAGGAACATAATCAGTTTGTGAAAGTGTGTGTGTGTGTTGGAGGCAGGGTGTGTATTGCTTAATTTGAATGTTTCTGATGAGCTAATATGTTCATACAAGTCAAAACTTTAAAAAAAGTTTCACAAAAGTGAAAAATCTCCCTTCCACCCTGGCCCTTCTTCCACCCCTTCCACTCTACCTCATGGCCAACCCAATTTTCTTCCCTAGAAGCAACTGATATTATCAATTTATTGTGTGCCCTTTCAGAATTTTGTTTTCCTTTTCTTTGAGATGGAGTCTCACTCTGTTGCCCAGGCTGGAGTACAGTGGCACGATTTCGGCTCACTGCAACCTCCACCTCCTGGATTCGAGTGATTTTCCAGCCTCAGCCTCCCCCTAGCTGGGACTACAGGTGTGCGTCACCACGCCAGCTAATTTTTGTATTTTTAACAGAGACGGGGTTTCACCATGTTGGCCAGGCTGGTCTTGAACTCCTGACTTCTAGTGATCCGCCTGCCTCGGCCTCCCAAAGTGCTGGGAATACAGGCGTGAGCCACCATGCCAGGCCCCTTTCAGACATATTTAATGTATATAGAATTAAATCTTCCTTGCCTTTCAAATGTACCTATTGTTTTCTAATTCTTTATTTTCATCTAATTTGCCTCCTTTCCTTATTCCTCTCACTATCTCTCATTGAGTTTCCCCAGTATGTGCTCCCCTTTTACTGCTTCAGATTTGAGGCTTCATTTTTTAAGAGTGAAGGTTGGATAGTTTTCTTTTTTTTCTTTCACTTCCTCCCCGAGCTCTGGCAGCTCAGAATTCATTTCCTCCCACTGTTTCATTACCTCTTCCCTCATCTCTCATGTGTATGTTTTCTTTGTGGGAGAAATTACTTTGCTATGTTTTCTTAATTTTCTCGTTAAAATTTTCATCTGCTCCATGGCAATGTTTTTTGATGAATCTTCTTTACCTGCTGTTTGCTTTTTCTTTTTTTTTCCTCCTTTGTTTCTTGTCAAAACTCTGTATATGTTACTCATTATTGAAGCCGGTAATGTTTTTCTTCCCTGTGGACCTCAGGTGTGAGAAAGGCCAAGATTGTCTTCCAGGTTGGCTAAATTTTCCTTATGACCCAGGGTTCATGTAAATTCACTAAGCCTTGAATTCTTTCCAACCAATGGTGAAGATTCCCCGAGGCAAAGTCTCTCCTCCCCTGTTGCCACAGAAACAGACCATTTCCTACAACTATGGCTTGTCTGAGTCCTGAGCCAGCAGAGCTCAGGCCACAGCACCTGCACCCATTTTCTGCTGCTGCACACAAGGGCTCTGTGCATTCCGCATCCAGGTGTGCCCCTCCCCTTCTGGAGGATTCTTTTTCAGGCTGTCCCGGAAACTTTGCAGCACAGCATCCTTGCTCTATTTCTTCCCGCAACATCTCTGCTGAAGCTCTATTGCTTTTGGCAACTCTTACATCTATTTTGTGGTTTAGGTGTCTGCTACTTTTACTAAAAATGGAATTTGTGTTTTTATCTCTCAAGTCCTTTTTGTTTTTGGATTACTTCCAGAAAATGAAAGGAGGATTACTAACTTTATGCCATCTTCAAACCAGAAGATCTTAGATTGGTAAGATCATGTTGGCCATGGCATGGAGAATGGGCTGGAGGTGGAGAGACTGGAGGTTGGAAGTCCAGTTAGGAGATTGCTCCTGCGCTGGGGAGTTGGTGTTAGGACAGAAGATCCAAGACGCATTTCAGAGGTAACTGCTGAATCTTACTGGCTGGTTCGCTGTGTGTTTGGGAGTGGGGGTGGATCAGGAAGAAATGGGATATTTCAGGGCTGGCGCTGGAGGCTGCTTGCGATGTAACGATGTAACGTGGAGCTGGGCTTCCTGCCTGTTCTGTCGCTTCCTGCCACATTCCAGGCTGCATCTGTGTGGCTGGGCCCTCTGGGAAGGTCATAGGGAGTCCTAATGGGGCAATGAGCTTCCCAGCTGTTCCCTTGAAGGTCCCCTGCAGATATCTGGATGAAACTCTTGACTGCTGGAAACTTTCAAGAAGGCCTGAGGCGGTCAGAAGCCAAGTTGTGGTTCCAAAATTTCCGGCCTATTCACCAAGCCTCCCTGATGATGAGATCTCAAGAAAAAACAAAAACAAGAAAACTGGGTGCAAAACGCAGGGTGGAACTGTTGATATCCCAGTGTTTCCTGCGAAGTCCTGGCTAAGGAACACAGGGAGGGAAAGGGGACTTAACAGAAGTCATAGAGCCCAGTCCCTGCCTCCACAAAGGCTTTCCAGGTCATCCAAACTACGAAAATTGAACAGAGAGCTAAATCTCTCAGATTCTCCAAAGGGGGGAATCTCTGATTCTTTTCTTTAATCAGTCTGCGGTAAGTCCTGAGTACTGACTTTTTTTCCCCTTAGTGTACAACCAGGGTTGAGAACTGAGGGCTACACAATCTCAGAGATGATCAGAATTCAAAGTTAGGAATGTGCTGGCTCCACATCTGTCCACTCTTGTGCAGTAACACAGCTGCCTGCCTGTGTACAGGATGAAATATCTTCAGTTCTGTTCCCTGGGATAGACTGACAGCTGTGGAATCAATACTGTGTCTTCTCCTAGGCTATGTTTCTTGACTCCGCTTACGTGGTTACTGCCAAACCTGGCCCCAGTGCCTTCTTCACACAGCTTTGACAACCAGGACAATATTTCCAGTCATCTAACAGAAGCTGCTCCTTATCAGTGATGTCTTTGGAAAATTACCAGCAATTACTAAGCTAGCTATTGGGAAATCTTAAGGATTTACTTTAGCAAGAATAAAATGAGGTCTTCTGGTCTGTTAGGACCTCTGTTCCTAAAATCACCAGAACCACCGCTGTGCTCTACAATGGAATAGTATGCATTCATTTGCAAGCGTGCTCAGATAAGACAGCGTCTTTAGGGAGTTTTTAAAAACTTGGGGGATAGTGCTTATGATATCGTGAAAAAACACAAACACTGTGTAATTTCATGTACATTAAAAATATGTGTGATCAAGTGAAAAGAGACTTCTTACCCTGCCTTCCCCAAGATCCCACACCCACCCCTATTTCCCTTCCAAGTGATTAAAGGAGTCGGTAACTTGAGTACAATATGCTGTTTTGTTTCTTGTCATCTGACTTTGGACAGGGAGGATGTAAATGTTCTCTTGGGCTAATAAGGTCAGTGTGTTTGCTCACAGGAAACAGAGTTATGAGTAGAGTAATAGCAGGAATATCAATTTCTTATGTGGGCCAAATAATATTTGTGTGGTTGTATTTTCTTTCCGGGAAAAGATTAGTTTTTGGAGAATGAAATATGTTTTATTTTAGATGCACCATTGAGTGAAGCAGCTACAGTTTAAGCGGAAGTCCTCCTTTCCCCACCTCCTGCCTTGTACCTCAGGGAGCCCCTCCTCCCCACACCGTCCTTCCCAGAGATCCCACCTCTCCTCTCCTGAAGCAGTAGCTACTGAGGAGAAAGAGGTGGAAAGCTAGAAAGGAAACAGGAAGAGGGGAGACGGGGAAGAGATCCATGCAGGAGACCTTGTGCAGGTCCGCGGGACTTCGTGAGATACCTGCCTCCATCCTCCCATTTTCCCGAATAGGACTCCAATTCTGTGAGACCTGGAGACAGTCTCCTGTTTCTTTTTCCCTTCTTTCCTTTCTTTCTTTCTTTTTTTTTTTTGAAGGAGTCTCACTTTGTTGCCCAGGCTAGAGTGCAGTGGCACAGTCTCGGCTCACTGCAACCTCTACCTCCTGGGTTCAAGCGATTCTACTGCCTCAGACTCTCAAGTAGCTGGGATTACAGGCACCCACCACCATGCCCAGCTAATTTTTGTATTTTTAGTAGAAACAGCGTTTTACCATGTTGACCAGGCTGGTCTCGAACTCCTGGTCTCAAATGATCTGCCCGCCTCGGCCTCCCAAAGTGCTGAGATTACAGGTATGAGCCACCACACCTGGCCCAGTCTCCTGTTTTCATTCACTGACAAAGCGAAACCTCCCTTAAGGTCTGAGTTACTGCAGAGAAAGGCTTTCCCACTGCCTACTTGGTTGGGGTTAGCCAAAGCAGCTCCGTCATTGGCAGCCACTGGATGAGGGAAGCAGCCATCCATTGGGGACAAGCTACCTGGAGGTAGGGCGGCCGATCTCCTGACACATCCTCCCAGACTACTACAGCAAGAAGCCTACTGTAGGAGTTGCAAATATATATGCATAGAATAAAGACTAGGAGAAAAATAGTCTAAAATGTTAAGCATGCTTCCCTCTGGATAGCTGAATTGTGGATATCATATTTTCCTGCTTCTTTAAATTGTCAAACTTTTTGTAATAGGAAGTATGTGCTATTTTTATAATCAGGAGGGGAAAAGGTTCCCTGGCCAACTCAGGGAGGACATAAGGCTGGAGGTTTCAGAGTAAGAGGCCGGAGGCAGATTCACAGGGGTGAGGACACAGTGGCAGTGAACATCTCAGAATGGATGGGACCTTGAGAGGTCATCTAGCCCATCCTCCTGCCTTTCGGATGTATCTGAATAAGACCAATATCTGAACCCTGTCCCCCCCACCATGTCAGAACTGCCCCTTGCCTTCCTTGCCCTTCCACTCCCAGCAGAATGCCAAAAGAGGTTTGACTTCGTGCTAATTATTCTTACTGCTTTCCTGCTTTCAGTGTTCTGCTAAATAGAAAATAGGGCACTGATGGCTGGATGGAAAATAGGCCATGATCTTCTCACAAAGTCTTTGCTCAACCACCTGCCTCCAGCCAGTGTCCTCTTGGAAAGCCCAGTCATCCAAGGAAAAGAGAAGTCAAGCTGAATTCCAGGGAGGGGAAGACCTTGGGGAAGAGGACCTCGGGGAAGAGGAAGAACAGGAAAGTATTTCTACAGGAATGTGCAAGGAGAGCTGGGGCCTGCAGAGAAGCACTGACTCCTTGTCTTCTTTTTTCCTTCCTTCCTTTCTTCTCCTTCCTTCTCCTTCCTTCCTTCCTTCTCCTTTCTCCTTTCCTTCCTTCTTTTCCCCTTCCTTCCTTCCTTCTCCTTCCTTCCTTCCTTCTCCCTTCCTTCCTTCTTTCCTTCCTTCCTTCCTTCTCCTTTCTCTTTCCTTCGTTCCTCCTTTCCTTCCTTCTTTCTCCTTCCTTCTTTCTTCCTTCCTTCTCCTTCCCTTCCTTTCTTCCTTCCTTCCCTTCTCTTTCTCTTCCTTCCTTCTCCTTCTCCTTTTTCCTTCCTTTCCTTCCTTTCCTTCCTTCTTTCCCCTTCCTTCCTTCTTTCTCCCTTTCCTTCCTTCCTTCTTTTCTCTTCTTCCTTCCTTCCTTCCTTCCTTCCTTCCTTCCTTCCTTCCTTCCTTCCTTCCTCTTTCCCTCTCTAATCACATATGAAGTGTTGTACCAGGCAGATTGTGTAAGAGAGAACAACAACAAAGCTTGAGACGTGGTCTGTGGCTTCCAGGAGCCTTCAACCTGGTGAGGAGGTACCACCCAGCTGGGAGAGTTAATTTTCTGGCACAGGTGCTTGATGTTCATAAATGGCCATCATGCCAGATATATGTGTTGGAGGCAGGGAGGGGACAAGAAACAAATCTTGTGATGTGATAGCCTTGCAGAGCAGGGATGTCACTTTTTAGGAGGCTTAAATCACACCAAATGTAGAAGGTTCCAGACTTTCAGAGGTGAGGGGACAGCTACAATTTGCACCAATACTACCACCCCTTCCCCCAACATACCTTCTCCCCTTCTTCCTTGAAAAATGGCCCCCAAATATGTCTGTGTCCTAATCCCTGGAATTCATGAATATGATAACTTACATGCCAAAAGGGTCTTTGCTATTGTGATTATATTAAAGGTGTTGAGATGGGGAGGTTGCCCTGGATTATCTGGGCGGGCCCAATGTAATCACAAGGGTTCTTATATGAGGGAGCTAGGAGGCTCAGATAGAGAGAGAAGACGTGAGGGTGGAAACAGAGGTCAGACAGGAAAGAAAAGGCCACTTCGCTGCTGCCTTTGAAGATGGAGGACGGGACCACAAACCATGGTGGTCTATATAAGCTGGAAAAGGCTCCCCAGAGCCACAAGGGAACACAGCCCTGTCCACCCACTTTAGAGCTCTGACCTCCTGAACTGTAAGACAATAAATGAGTTATTTGAAACCACTGCATTTGTGGTAATTTGTCACAGTCACAGTCGGTAGCTCATACAGTCCTCTCTTCTCCTCTCTGTGATCCTTGTGTGGCTAAAAAGGAGAAATGCTAATATTTATTAGAAGTTACAGCAGTGAAAAACAGAGAAAACATTTCTAACATATAAACTTGACCACGAACTTATTAATTTACAAAAAGTTTGATAGGAAAACAACCAAATGCCAGGTTTTTAAATGAGCAAAGAATATGAACACATAGAGTTCAGGAAAAGAGCGGTAGATTGCTCTGTGCTAACATGGGAAGCTTCTCTCAGACATGTTAGAGTGAAAGAGATGAGCTGCAGAATACCTCAGGGGTAATCTCTCCTTTTGTGTCAAGAACAAAATAGAGTCGTATCTATAGGATTTTACACGCTCCTTTTTGCTGGAAAGAATCACGAGAAAATATCAGCAAAGATTGCCTTTGGGAGAGGAATAGAGGGGAATGGTATTTAATTTTTAAAACCTTCCTGCTGTTTGAATTTTTTAACCTTATACTTGGGTTTGTTAATGTTAACAAAAGCTATCTGACCAGGGAGATTTTGACTCATTTTTTTGTTTTCTTCTTGGTACCTCTTTGTCTTAAAGAAAAAAAAAAAAAATCCAATTAGCATTATGTAAGGTGGGTCACATAGGGAGAAATCTTCCAGAGTCTACCATGGTATATACTACATGAACTACATGAACTAAAATTCTTGCAACCAGGAAGACTGGGCTGTCCTGTGAGGTTACTACTCAAGCTTCTCACTGGGGGCCAGTGTCGGAAGAAGTGCGATAAATCCCCAGCCCTCTATGGTCCTGGCTTCTCTCAGAACGGTTACCAAGGCCCTAGGATCTAAAGATGATTGTGTCATCAGCCTGGTACCTCTAGGGCTTTGGGGAGAACAGATCTGCATCAGGAGGGGAAAAGGGATTTGTCACGCACCAGCCATTCAACCTTGGGTAAGTTTTTTGTCTCCATCTGGCAAAATGGGAGTGGTGAGGGTGTTTGTTCTCAGGGTTACTGTGAGGCTTAAATAAGATCATGCTGTGGTACGCCCAGCATGGCCACGGGCCCAAGCCAGAACATGACAAAACCAAGTCTTCTCCTCCTTTCTTATGTTTATTTTTAAGCCTGTCAAGGACTGAAGGAGGCCCTTGTTCAGCAGAAGAGAGGTAAGAGCAAGCCTTTGTCTGTAAAAATGCAGAAGCCTGGTACAGAAGACCAAAAACGCACAGCCACAGGTCTATTCCCACATATGTGCGTTTGCCACTGGTTGGCCATCTCTGCCGAGTCACAGAAGGATATTAAAGTTTGTCAGCCCTTTAAAGCCAAACAGGCACATTTTCCCTTCTCCTCGACAGACATTCTAATGTCACTGCAGTAGCTGGAGTCTTAGGTGTCGTTAACCCACATGCCTACCTCCCGTGACCAGGGTGGGGGAAGAACAAGCACGCTTTGTTCCCAAAGCCCCGGTTGTGACTTGCTGGTTTTCTGATGACTTTAAACAAGAAATGGAGCAGTTGGACTTTTAGCTGCTCCAGGTGGTAACTGGGGCTAAATGTACTGAGCTTAAGGGAAAAGCTGAACATTTGGAATCCCAAAATTTAGAGATTCAAAGGCTCTTTAAGAATTCTTTCCTGGCCGGGCGCGGTGGCTCAAGCCTGTAATCCCAGCACTTTGGGAGGCCGAGACGGGCGGATCACGAGGTCAGGAGATCGAGACCATCCTGGCTAACACTGTGAAACCCCGTCTCTACTAAAAAATACAAAAAAAAACTAGCCGGGCGAGGTGGCAGGCGCCTGTAGTCCCAGCTACTCGGGAGGCTGAGGCAGGAGAATGGCGGGAACCCGGGAGGCGGAGCTTGCAGTGAGCTGAGATCCGGCCACAGCACTCCAGCCTGGGTGACAGAGCGAGACTCCGTCTCAGAAAAAAAAAAGAATTCTTTCCTCTGATGGACAGTGCCTGGCCAGAGCTGGGCGGTCCTCTGCCTGATGAGCTTTG